CTTAGCATTGGCGGAGGCTAGAGACCTGCTCTACTTAATAACACATTTCAAGAAGAGAAGATTATATCATAGTCAAGAGACCATGATATCAGTTACAAAAGTGTCTGTTCAACGACTTCAGATGACCCAAGATAAGTCAGCCTCTTGTCTTGCAAAATGCAACATTGCATCTTGCCACAATCACAGTGTGAGGTCAGCCAAGGTCGGCCGTCTACAGAATCTTTGATACAGAGGCATCTACGGAGAATACTAGTTCACAATTCCTCCATAATTCTACACTGCCCCCAGGTTCAAATTGTTATTTATGTTTACTTATGTATTTTTAAGTGCATGTGTGGTTTTCCTGCATGTATGCTTATGCCTGTAGAGAATGTCAGATCCATGGAACGGGGATGGAATCATGAATGGTTGTGAGCCACTATGTGGATGCTGTGAACTGAACCCAGGTCTTCTGAACAGCTGAACCTGCTCTCCAGCCCATCAAACGCCACTGTTTTCTGAAGCTTCATTTGGATGCAAACATTTGAGAAGATCTCTCCTTTCCAGCAGTCCACAGGCTTGTTTGGCCTGAGTGCTCTGAAATTCTCTAAGTAGCCGTCATGTGTAAATGTTACGGCGCCGATAGAAAGGTATCCTGGCAGTCAGAAGCCAAGGAATACCTACAGCTAGGAAGGAAACGGTATTCCAAAAGAAGCATTACAGCTCTGCTCTGGTAGGGGACAGTTTCCCCAGCAAAGCCTTATAGAACTTGATCTGGGAAAGGTTTCCCTAATGTAAGTGTAACAAGTCTGCTCCAACAGGGGAGGGTTTCCCCAGTGAGGTTGTTACAAACTGCTCTGCTCCCCTGAAGTGGAACAACTCGGCTCTAGCAAGGGAAAGTTTCCCCAGGCAAAGTGGTCCAGTTCTGCTCTGCTCTGACTCCCGGCCACTGGGCTCTGGTGAAGGCCTTTACTGCTTGGCTCTGCCGAAGTTATCACAGCTCCGTTCCACTCCGCTCTGCTCCAGGGAAATAAACTCATTACAACGAACCTCACTCAAGAGATTAGGAAGGAGGTGACCAAGAGAGTGGCTGATTCTGCCAGGTGGAAAAAGGCAGCCACAAACTGAACAGGTCCAGGACTTATATAGGGTTTCTTAGGGGCAGATCTTT